GGAGAGAACTAAAACATGCAGGATGCCGGGCCTCCAGGACCCACTTTGGGCTCCCCTGCTGTAGATAATACAGCAGCTGCAGCTTCATCTGTTGGTGCTGCAGCTCTCTGAGGATGATGCTCTGGAGACCTCTTGGACCTTCGTCAGTTAGGTCACAGGACAAACCTTTAAAGTTGAACATAAATAAAAATAAAAATACAAAATTTAGATGCTTTAACTTTTGGTATGTTTATGCATTACTTATAAACCTACTTTTAAATTTACCTCCTGATAACAGGTGGGAAACTCCTTTAGAGTGTCTTCATAGGATGACAGAGATTTCCAACGATGGTCCATCAACAAAGATCCTCTTTTCCTCTTCCAGTCTCTTTACCATCATGATGTCATCGATTGCCCTTGTTTTTGTGTGAAGACTGAGAGTCTGAAATGCATTTATGAAAAGGACAAATCAACTCATTAAAAGTTTAAATTTGTAAGTTGAGGTCAACACCTGGAGTATCTAGTCACATTATCTGTCAGGTATGATGACAGTATAAAACATATTAGTGTATGTTTACTTACCACTGTGTGATTGTTGCCATGGCAATGTTGTGTCACCGGACAGGATCTCTTCCAAAGACAGAACTTCTGTGTCTGTATCAGTCTTCAAGTGACCAACATCTTCTAAAGCCAATGCTAAGATGTTTTCTCCTTTCTGATCTTGCGATGAGCCTTGGCACAAGCTTTGTCCATCTGTATCTGCACAAACATACACAAACAACATCAACTGTGTCAAAGATGTTTATGCAGTATGTACCAGCAAGGTTATTCAATGCCTGGTCAGTGTTCCTTACCTTACATTCATGGGCTTTGCCATGGAAAATTGAGAGAAATGGCTTCATTTTAAGCAGGTGTTGGAGCTCAGGACAGCTTTTTGTTAGTTTTCAAGATATGGTCAGTACTTACATGTTACATCCATGGAAAAAAAAGTGATTGTCTGTTGGCCAGCCTTTGTTGAAAGAACAAAGCTTATGCAAATATCTCATACTATCTCGAAGAGCACTAAGCAGCACTCCATGTCTACACACCGCTAGCTCCAAGCCTCCTCATCCAGTTTGCTGCTGGATCTGTGAGAGATCTCCCTGGCTGCCCACCACAAAATCTAGAATGCATACAATTCAGTCAGGCAAGCTGTTATTACAGGCTAAAAGGTTACTGTTATTATACATTTACAATCTGCAGTCTTACATTTTTGGTTGATTAGTGTATACAGTCCACAAATGTTCCTACGTTTTCATCCTTGGCAATGAAAAGGTCCTGAAATATAGCCTGTTCCTCCAATCTGAAAACAAAGCAATAAAATACACTTCATGAGGTGTTATTGTCCAAAGGTAGTGAACATCACTAACATATACAAAGAATTGTTATATTTTACACATTTTACAATACCTTGCTGCATTCTTTAAATGGTAATACTTGCAGTTTCCATCCACTGAAACTGAAAGCACATCTGGGGTACAAGCTTGACACTTGAAGGGATCCTTCCTTAACATCTTATCCAACTCATATTATGGCTTCCCGCTCAAAAATCATTTCAGGAAGCTGTCAGCCGAGATCTTAACTATGATTTAAAATGAGAGATAAAAAAAGAAAACATAAAATAGGACATAGGTGTCCAAATACCAGGCATCAAGAATAGGTTAGGTGTCTTTCAAGTTTTAGGTGTTTCTCTGGCACAAAACATCTCACTCAATTAATTTTGATGTTACCAGGACTTCATATGATCTGAATGCAGAATGAATGAGGTGGCACCTCAGCCATTTTATTCAAGTGTGTTTAACCAGTTACACCAAAATGTTGAATAGCATAACCACTCAAGAATAGAGTCAGACGGCCCTTCTGAGATATGTACATCAAAGTACTCACACAGCCAAAGTTGACAGTTATTTAAGATCTACGGGCAGGGGGGGGACGGAGAGATGACACAGTGGGAGGAGAGGCAGTTGGAGAGATGCTTCTGGGTCTTTTCTTCTTCTGAAAAGACTGAGAGGATGGGACAACAGGATGAGAAACAGGAACTGAATCAAGCACCATCACAGTCTCTTCCTGGTTCTCTGGTATCATCATTGGATGCTCCTCAGTAAGCATCCCAGGCTGCTCCTCAGTTATGGTCTCTGACTGTTCAAAGATCAGGTTCTCAGCTCTTTACTTCTCTTCATCTGGCTTGTAACAGCAATAAATAACAGACAGGAGAAAAGAAATTTGCCTGTACTGACGCAAGTTCATTTTTAATTCAAGTAAATGACCTAGCTGCAATCAGTGTATTCAGACAGGGTTCATAAACAAAACTTTAAAGATCATCACAGCCTGGGGGCACTGATGTTTTTAGCAACCCTCCAATATTACAAAGTGGCANTCGGTTTTCCACAGCCTGCTGCATCCTTAATAAATCTGCTACTAAGGACGCAGCCCTGCGTCTCCAATGCCGCATCATGGATTCGTTCACACCGAGGTTACATGCAGCGGCTATCGATCTGTACTGCCAGATGGGATTTATTTAACATCATATTAACTTCTTCGTGTTAACATATTGGCATCATATTAACTTCTTCGTGTTGTTTCCAGGGGTATGAGTGTGAAAGCATTTCTCCGTTGTGCCTGCAGCTAGCATGTACTTGTTCTAAATCAGGGGTCCCCAAAGTGGGTCCTGGAGTTCTGGCATCCTGCATGTTTTATTCTCTCCCTGGTTTAACGCACCTGGATCCAATGATGGCTCATTAGAGGCCTAAGAAAAATATTGACAAGCTGAAAATGTTGTTAGTACCACCAGAGAAAGAATAAAACATGCAGGATGCCGGGCCACCAGGACCCACTTTGGACCCCCCTGTTCTAAATAAAAATCAGCACTTTTCTTTGATTTCCAATTTTGACTTAAAATTATTCACTTCCTGCTAAAGAGCCCCCTGGTGGTTGAAGAAAAATCTACAGAAAAGCCACACCGGGCTATAATCCATGTAAAAAGCCGGGACAAAGTAGCAGCTTATCTCTGGAAAATACGGTACTTCTGCATTCTTTCAGTTAGAAACCCCATTCATACTTTAAGCACAGGATACCCTTCAGCAACTACAGTACAATTCAGCTTCTTCATACATTTTACAGTTGTCATAAAATTCTTATAAACGTCTTGGTTACATTATGTTCATATTTCATCTTTACAATGGAAACTAATTATGGTAAATAGCCTAGACTTGAACAGCCCTTTATCATGTCCAGAGGACTCCAAAGTGATTCACACATTTACGCACACATCCACTCAGTGGTAAAGTGTGGTAAGCTACTGGGTGGCAGTCACACCTGCCCTGGGGCAACTGGTAAAATGCAGTATATTGGTTTTTCATAGTGAATGGAATAGTGCAAGTCAGCCGTACTACTGATAGTCTTTATGCTAATTAGGGAACTTTGTGTTTTTTAGAGTTGATGTCAACATGATACAAGTTGAGTCAATAACTGGTTGCTGTGATCTAACAGAAGCGCAAGCATAAATACTTTTCACCCACTTACAAGCAATAACACAGTAACTATTGCCTAAAAATTGCTTAGACTTAGCATATTAAATAGAAGAGGTTTGAGTTGTCTCCAAAAGTTGCTGGTTTAGAGTAGCAAGATATGTAGACTGGGTTCAAGTTAAACAACTGATGCAAATTCCAGTTTGAATGGTTTATATACTAGTTCACAGTTTGACTCATCCAGTTTTCATTTATAGATGCATTTATTAGGTTAGATTATCAGTTATGATCTGAAACAATAAACAATCATCAGTACAGTAATCATTAATTCAATCATAGGATGAAAGTTTCAATAAAATACATTTCAGTCATCAGTGTCCCAAAAGCATGGGTAAGTCAACATAGTGGATTAAACAGAGCTCAATACGGAAAAAAAACTTCATAACCTCCCCACTGGCCTAATGCCACTGCAGTAAAACTAGCTGCTTCTTCGGAAATGACAGTAAATTCAGCCTGCACCCAGTGTTGACATGCGTGAAGGGACAATGTGCTGCGGCGTCCTCCTTTACACCTTCCCTTCAAAATAAAAGCACACCTTCAGTTAATTTTTTTATTCACACTTTCAGTTTCTTTCTGTGGCAGGCACAGGAGACGTGGCTGGAGCTGGGGTGGTATTCCTCTACACACAGAAGTGTAGAGGAATATAATTATTTTAAATTTCTCCATAGAAGATGGGCGTACCAACCCTCAAGCACATAAAGAAGTCGGATTGCGATTCCGGGGCGTCTGATGGCAGAGTATGGCTTTGCCACAATCTCCACATAGTCCTTTATCATTGAGGTTACTTCACTCCAGTGTGCTGGATCCATAATGATGTTTATTTTCCTTTTATAGCATTCCTCACCTTGTTGCTTGTTGGTCATGATTTGCAGAATGAGGTGGTGAGGCAGACGCTGAGGACCCAGACAGAATGATGAATATGATGATTAATTGTCCACAAACAGTTCCAATTCCAGGCAGCACAGTAGAGCGGAAGGCTAAAGTTTGAAAACTGGTAGCTGGCAAACACAAAACATCTGAAAGGCAGAATAGACACTGATAACAGGCGGGAAACTCCTTTAGAGTGTCTTCATAGGATGACAGAGATTTCCAACGATGGTCCATCAACAAAGATCCTCTTTTCCTCTTCCAGTCTCTTTACCATCATGATGTCATCGATTGCCCTTGTTTGTCTGAAGACTGACAGAGTTTGAAATGCATTTATGAAAAGGACAAATCAACTCATTAAAAGTTTAAATTTGTAAGATGAGGTCAACACCTGGAGTATCTAGTCATATTATCTGTCAGGTATGAAGACTGTCCAAAGGTAGTGAACATCACTAACATATACAAAGAATTGTTATATTGTACACATTTTACAATACATTGCTGCATTCTTTAAATGGTAATACTTGCAGTTTCCATCCACTGAAACTGAAAGCACATCTGGGGTACAAGCTTGACACTTGAAGGGATCCTTCCTTAACATCTTATCCAACTCATATATTATGGCTTCCCGCTCAAAAATCATTTCAGGAAGCTGTCAGCCGAGATCTTAACTATGATTTAAAATGAGAGATAAAAAAAGAAAACATAAAATAGGACATAGGTGTCCAAATACCAGGCATCAAGAATAGGTTAGGTGTCTTTCAAGTTTTAGGTGTTTCTCTGGGACAAAACATCTCACTCAATTAATTTTGATGTTACCAGGACTTCATATGATCTGAATGCAGAATGAATGAGGTGGCACCTCAGCCATTTGATTCAAGTGTGTTTAACCAGTTACACCAAAATGTTGAATAGCATAACCACTCAAGAATAGAGTCAGACGGCCCTTCTGGGATATGTACGTCAAAGTACTCACACAGCCAAAGTTGACAGTTATTTAAATTTTGATAATATAGTTTTTTTATATTATGGTTTTGAGTCATTCAAAGAATTGTTATTCATACCATTGAGCATGACCACAGTGACTGCCTGTCCTGGTTTGATCCTCAAACATTCTGATGGACAATCAAATTCTAACTGGGATCTCCACAGGTACGAATCGTGCTAAAGAGGTTGACATGTTGGATGCATGAATTTAAAGAAAACAAAACTTACGCTTTCTCTTCTTATAGTCTACCCTGACTTAAGGAGACGGCATGGTCAGCAGGTGACATGAATGCAGATGTGGCTGATGACGGAGTGGGAGGAGAGGCAGCTGGAGAGATGCTTCTGGGTCTTTTCTTCTTCTGAAAAGACTGAGAGGATGGGACAACAGGAGGAGAAACAGGAACAAGATCATCACTATCACAGTATTTTCCTGGTTCTCTGGTGTCATCATTGGATGCAACTCAGCTGTGGTCTCTGTTCACAGATCAGGTTCTCAGCACTTTATTTCTCTTCATATGGCTTGCAACAGCAATAACTAATACTGTATAGACAGGAGGAAAGAACTTCTCCTGTACTGATGCAAGTTGGTTTTTAATTCAAGTAAATGACCAATAGCTGCAATCAGTGTGTTCAGACAGGATTCATAAACAAAACTTTAAAGATCATCACAGCCTGGTGCTCTGATGTTATAGCAAGCCTCCAATTTTACAAAGTGGCAACAACAAGCATGACTATAAACACTATTATGTGACTTTATCATGGCTAATTACTGTATCTAAGCACAGGTACAGTGTACAAGTCCAATTAGCCTCCAAGAGGCTAATTTAGCTAGCTTCCACCGTATATTTTCCGGCAAAAAGATGTTACCAACGTGCCTTTGTAACATAGTTAAGATGGTTCAGGTTAAATCCTGCTAAAATGCACCACCTGCTGGTCAAAAGTTGTATTGCATTCATCCTAGAAAGAGCGGGGTATTATGGGTAATCCTCAGAGCCATGAGGATCACCGACGAGGTAACGTGTCTCTGCCATGTGTTAAAGAAATATTATTAATGCATTTTGTGAAGTGTGGTTGTCGTTTTTGCATATTGTTGAAATATGTTCGGTCTGGGTCACGCTAGTTCTGTTATTATGTCGTTTTTGGCGTGTTTAACAATGTTTAGTTCGTGGGAAAGTGCAGTGGGAATTTCCCACGCGGTAACATTTTGGCTCCTCCTTGCAGGAGCTGGTTTATCCCAGACTGACCTCACCTCCATGCCCGTTCTGTGAAATGCAGGTATGTTTTACCAAATCTCCTGTAGCAGATGGTTAGCATGACACTGAGTTTTATATTAACAGTTTTATACAATGATATGGTTAATTTATGTTTCTGCATTGTTCTAAAATGCAAGATTATATAAACTAAAACATAAAAATGGCATCCAGTAAATAAAATGTCAGCATTTTATTTTATTTTTCAGAACATTTTAATTCGTTACTTTGCTTTCTCTGAAAGACTCACTGGTTGTTCTTTTATTGTAAAACAAAATCCACTATACGATCTCTGTAATTTGAAATGATTTTATTGTGGTTACTGTATGATGGGTAATCCTCAGAGCCATGAGGATCACCGACGAGGAGCTGGTTTATCCCAGAGACTGACCTCACCTCCATGCCCGTTCTGTGAAAAAGAAAGAAACAGTTGATACCAACTTGAGCAGCTCCTTGTTGTTCATTGCCACACCGATAGAAGCCACCAGAACCACATAGGCCACACCTTCAACCATTCGCAGCACAGTCCTACTGCCATCAAGTCCTAAAACTACCATCAGTAATTTTATAACGTAACACTTTGGAGTTATTTTTGGTTTTAGAGTACAAAAACATTTTGACAGGTGCAGGTTTCTACTCACCGGAGTGTAAGTGTCGCATAGGATGACGTCAGCTTATTCTTCTTCTTGGGTTTTAGTGGGATCCGTCCTTATTTTTATTATTTCAATCAAAAATATTAAAACGTTTACAGAACAGTTTGGCATGCAACCACAAAAGAAAATACATCTTAATTTTTCTTAAATCATTTGGAGTAAATCATTGATATCATATTCAAAAATAGTTGGTAAATTTTAAAATAGGTTTTTAAATCAAACTAACAACAACCACAACAAAAACCCTCCGGTTTTATACTTTATTGAGTTATTTTTAAATACCGAATTAAAATCTTATGACTGATACATCTGACCTGGATTTGAAGTAAATATTTTTAATATTGTGTTCAAACTAGCACATCAATTGTAAATAAAGTTTTTTTTAAAGAAAAAATGTCCTATCAGCGACAAGCAGCTGTGACCAGCGTTACGAATTGCTAATAACCTACTGAGCCTGCTAGCAGGCAGAGGAGGGACCACCTGAGGCCATTCTGTGGGATGACAACATCCGAAGCGGGTGTCAGGACAGAGTTCTGAGATCGCAGGGAGACGGAGTCGTCCACTTTGGTCAGCGCTAACCAATAGGAACATGTCTTACATCGCTGGCCCCGCCCAGGATGTTCATGTGAGAATCGCAACCAAATAAAGTTGAGTTCAACCAAATAACAAGAGCATCAAAAGAACTTAGACTAAACCAAAGACTTAGGCTGTGGACCAAAAAATTCTGATATGCAAAAATAAAAGTTTCAAACAAAAACAGTGATATAATTTTTTTTTTTTTAAAAAGCGTTTAAAGCAATTTTTAACTCTTACAATTCGATTGAGATTTTTTTTTGTTTGAAACAAAAAAAAAACAAAAGTTTTGATTACAACTCTATTTTTTTGTTTGACGTGATTTCTTTTTTTGATTGAATAATTGTGAAACAAATTTAACTCCATAGTTCTTCATCACATCCAAAAACAGTATTCCTCTTTTTCTCAGCTGTGCTCCTCTATTTTCCTATTCTCCAGTGTTATAGTTTATATTATAACTTAGGAAACAATAACTGAACATTTTGACACACTGATCAAATTCTTGTTCCTGCATAAAAAGGGTAAAAACTTCCTCCATATTTGTCAGCGTACTTTAAACTTATGTTAACATCCTTCCTGCCCTGCAGCCCCTCCTCTTCTCTCTGCCCCTCCTCTCTCTGCCCCT